GCAACCTGTGCCAGCACCTCACAGTAAAGAATTTCTTCCTTGTATCTAACCTGAAGTCAGGAAAAGAGCTGCCTGTGCTCATTGCTTGCTTGTTGTGTCTCATTGTTGAAATCAAAAGGCAAACCAAAACCATCACTCAGAATTATTGAGCCTGAAACAATTAGATCCCTATTTGCAAATTCATTTTCTTTGGGCAGATAAATTTGTATCAGGATGCGTGAAATACCTGGTCCTCTCTGGAAACAGCTCTGCTAATGGGGCCGTGGCTCCCTCTGTAGATAGAATACCAGTTTCAGTGTTGCCCTTTCATGCCTTTGCAATCAGAAGTGTCGATTAATTCCAATGTGCAAGCTGGCAAGCAAGCAAAGCAGGAGCAGGGATCTCTGGAGTGACAGGAAAGCTTAAGAGTAAATAAGTGTTTAGGTAAAGAGCAGATAGAGCTGATCTTACACATCTAAGTAACTAGCCTGGCAAAGCCTTGGTACTGCCAAAGAAAGAAGTTGAAAGAAAGAATGGAAAAAGAGAAATCCTATGGATAAATGCCAGGCTGTAAGTGCCTGCAGCTAGTTCCCAGGCCATCCCAGCAGGAAAACTCTGTTTTGTAAGGGTCAGTGAGAATGGATGGAGGTGTGGGATGCTTGTGCACAAATTCTGTCCCAGTTACTCTATCCTCTCAGTTCTAATGTCATTATCCTGAACGAATGAGCTCTGCTCTCCAGAACAGACTCTTCAATCTACTCTCTGGCTCAAAGCCAGTTGTGTTTTCTTTCCAGCAGCTTGCATTGCGAGGGCTTTTAGTGAGTTATGTGCTTTCGAGCATCTCTGGTACATTTGGATTGAACGTTTCCCCAGCTGCTTCCATCACTTTCTCGTTTTGCCATTTAGTCACTGGGATTTAGAGCTTCACTTTAGACCTATTGAAAGAGAGCTTTCTTCTGGGCACTGTGCCTCTTCAGCTGAAGAGAGGGTGAGCGTGCCTGCTAGCATGATGGAAAAGTAGGATTCTCATGACACAACCTTGCTTTTGAGTGAATCTGAGCTGTTGGTGATCTCTTTTCTTTCTGTGCAGCTGAAGTTAACTCCTGAGTACTTGCAGCTGATGAAATACAAGGCGATTGCAGCAAACAGCAAGATATATTTTGGCAAGGATATTCCCAACATGTTCATGGACTATGCAGGAAGCCAGACCAAATTTGCAGAGGGACTGGCAGAAGGAATCCAAGAAGAAGATGGGGTAGGAACCAGTGAGGACTCAAAGCTACTTCATAACGTCAACTGAAAGATTTCTATTCCTTTTATATCAAAAGAAACATGAACTGGGAAGTTCTTTTTGTTTTTCCCCCTTTCCTGTTCTGAAAGAGACGAATCAGACTTAATCCATTCAATCTTTTGTATGACAATTAGACTTTGGTATTTATGGGGTGGTTTTCCTGGTAACTTCTAAGCAGCCAGCTCCAGGTATGTCCTTTAGATGCACCTCTCCCTTCTCTTGGACATATAGACCAAATTCCTGTGGAGAGGCCAGCTTAGATGGGTACTTCCTTTTGGATTGAGGTGGCCCATAGCAGTAGGAAGTCGAGAAATGGTGAGGTTTCGGAGGGAGGGGAATTGCTGCTACAACTTGTTTTGGTTGGAAATTTCATGTACTTTATGTGAAACCCCTTTAACAAAAAGGTGCTAGACTTTTGTACACTAGACACAGCTGCTTGAAGACCTTGTCTAAAGGGCAGGTTGCCCCCATTGCAGGTCTTAACAGCCTGTGTTCATGCTCCAGGTCTGCCCAGAGTGCAGGGTGTAGCAAATGCATGAACCCACTTATTAGTGAGGTCTGAGCTGACCTGGTTTGCCTTGCTAGGGCAGCTGAGACCACAGTGAGTTAAAGAAATCCAGCTGAAATCCTGCAGGTTCCCTGGTTTCCATGGGGGGATCTAAGCCTTACACCACTGCTACTACAAGTAGTGACCCAAACTGTTCCTTTTGTGCATCTTAACACTGCTTTGGTTTCCATTTGTCATAGCTGGGGAGGGCAGAAGGGGGGAGTCAGTAGTTTGAGGCTTTCCCCAGCTGCTTGGTGAGGGGCACAGGTGTGCTGCTGGAGAACTGGAGTTGATTGTCAGTGGCACCAGGCTGCAAGCACGGTACTTGTCCCATTGTCCCAGTTAGGAAAACAGGGAGAAAAGCATTTTTGTCTCAGGGACCCTGACTTTGTCAAAAGCCTTGTTGCTGGCAAGTAACTGCTTGAATGACCCACGGGCATCACAGTGCGTTACCTGCCTCTGCAAGAGCAACTGGATTTCAGTGTTTACAGTGTCTTACTAGAGAGAAGGCATTCAGGTAAACTGAAAGGAATGGAACTGAGTTTCGCTTGTGTTTGGAGGGTTGTTTTCTGAATAGACCTTGTGAAAGGGAAGATTTAAGGTATCAAAGGACACAAACCATCAAAGTGAGAAGTGACAGGGCAAAGAACAGTACCTCTTGTCTCTGAACTGTCCTAAGATACATTGAATTTTCCTTTTATACTCAGAACAATGCCATATAATGTACCTTTTACTTCCAAAAGCCAATGAATTCTTCACATACCAGATGCACAGAGGTAATAGGGTTGTGTTTGACACACATGCAAAGCTTGAGAGGGTGTTGAAGACAAAAGTTCAGACCTAGAGAGAACATTCCTGTTTTTTTTCTGTCCCTAATCCATCTGCCACTTGGCAGCAGAGTCTGTTTATTAGTTGCCATTATCATTTGTGGCCAACATACTAATATGAGCTGATACCAGTGTAAGTGCTAACTTAGTTGTCAGAGAACCAGCCTGTTGCATTTGCAATCTTGTGCCCCCAGCACTTGCTACCCACTACATTTGGTTTCATTCTTCAGTGACTGAAACATGCATTAGTCCTTTGAATAAGGTGATCACACTAAGAATTCTGAGGGATTTCAGCTGCTGGTACCAGTATTCTTACTTCAGTTTTCTTTCCCCTGGTAGGAAGGAGAGTGACAATGCACAATAAAGGATAAGCATCAGTTTCTGCTCTAGGAAAGTCCCATCTCCTATCGTGTCAGCTTTATTTGTTGGGAAATACAAGTAAAGGGAAGTTCCATCTCCACCCCTACGACATTAGACAGCACAGCAGTCAAAATGGCATCAGTAGGTAGGCTGTAATACTGCCTTTTATAGGGTTATGAACAGGGAATAGCAGATGAGGTAATAGTATCTAAACCTTTGAGGATGATCTCATTTGGGATCATTCTACATTCAAGTTAGAGATTTCCATTAGTAACTGAAAACTACATTTGACATGAGTGGTTTTTGCTAATGAAAAGACCCAAATAAGCCAAAGGGGTATTAAAAAGGGTGGGGTTTTTTTGTATGACTTCACAGCAAGACAACAGTTTGGAATAAATAAGTCTTAATGCTTTTTTTTTTTCTTGTTTTAATTGAAAACATTACTGCTGAATTATTCTTGTCACTTCAGCTGTCACAAGAGTCAAAAGGCAAAAAGCAAGGTTGAAACCAGGCTTCACAAGCCAGAATCCACTGTTGCATCCAGGTTTCTTCCTTGTATGTCTGATCTCCTGTATTTCCCAGACCTGTCACTACATCGTGATTCCATCTCTCTCTTTAACTGACATTTTGGCCTCTTTCCATCATTTGAAATCTTGGAAGATCTGAGTTTTAAAACCATTCTAACAAAGCAAACCCAGGTTTGTGGTGCTGCTGTGGTACCCGAGCATCGCTGGCAGGAGCATGGGAATGCTTTCCCCGTGCTGTCTTTGATCTTCTTACGTATTAAAAGCCTTTTTATTTTGGTATTTGCTATGACAATAAAATGGCCTTCAATTTTAATAGTGCTCCTGTTTTTATCCCTATAGATAACACAACATGGAGATGCATTGCATCTACATGCAATACATCAGATGCAGGGGAAGATCGACCAGGGGTAACACTGAGGCTGCTGCTGCTCCAGGGGGAAGAGTGCTGTGGATCGGTGCTGAGCTGCCATTGACCCATGTGCTGCTGCCCGCTGCCATCCTCTCCTTCCAAGGAGCAGGAGAGGGTGGATGTATCCCTGTCAGCTCAGAGAAGGCCACAAGCATTCTCAGAGCAGGGTGACAAACATGCTAACAAGCCTTTAGTGTCAAACAGCAAGGATTTGGTCAAGTTTGCATCAAATCATTGTCATGTTTTAGCACACACAGAGCCTGGTGGGTGTTTTGAACCAGCTGTGTCAATACTGTCCTTGCTGGGAATATGGGAGAGCCCAGTTCTGCACATTAAGGCAAGTATTTAACTAATGGGTTCCAGCTGGCAGGTCCCATTCCTTCCATCTGACTCACTGGGATAAAGGCTGGCATTGTCCTGCTGCTCCCCACCACCCAGGGCGCACAAGTGCCGCCTTGCTTTACAAAGGGGTGCTTTACCTCTAGGCATTTGGAATTTGCACCCTAGGAAGACGGCTCTTCGTGCAGAATGGCCTGGTTGTGGACTCCGGGGTGGTTTTTATTGCAGTATTCAAGGTATACGGTCCAAAACGAGCCCTGTAGTGGGCAGAACATGCCCTTCGAACACAGGGCTGCTGCCTGCCACGTTCTCCTTACAGTCGTAAGAGCCAGAGGGATCTGTAGGTGCTCTCCTCACGCGGGTGAAGGCTCCCGCTTGGATCCTTCCCCTCAGAACCTGCCGGCCCAAGGGGAGGCCGCGGTGTTGAGGGGGTGCCAGAGCAGGTTATGAGGTGCTGGCACCGCTCTTGTTGCTCACAGCAGGACCCCCAGCGCTCCTCACTGCCCCTCAGCGCGGCATCAAGCCTCATCCAAGCCACTTATAAGGGCACGGAGGTGCGTTCGGGCAGCATCGGAGCCCGGAGGAGGCCGCCATGGAGCCGCAACCCTCCTCCCCTCAGCCGCCCCAACATGGCGCCGCCGCCCTACGCCCCGCCCCGCCGCTCCCATTGGTGGGCGGTGCGCGACGGAGCGATCCTATTGGCTGGAGGGGAGCGGGGAGGGGCGGGGCCAGCCGGGGATGTGGAGGGCGGCGGGCATGGCCGCCGGGGACGGGCTGGGCCCCGCGCTGCGGGCCGTTACCGAGCGGGTGCAGCAGGCAGCGGCGCGCCGGCCGCAGGTGAGCACCGGGGCTGTGGGGAGAGCCTCGGCCCGCAGTGGGGTGGTGGGGGGGGCACGCTCTGTGCGGGGGCAGGCCGTCCGTCACCATGGAGACAGCGCCTTGGGGGCCTGTCATGGAGGCAGGCGGCTGCTCCCCTCAGCGAGGGTGACAGGACCCCAGTGTCGTCCTTTAGGGGTGTCCCTGTTGCTGTGGAGACCAAGCTGACCCCTTCCCATAGCTGGGGCTGGGGCCGTGGTTGGGTGCTGAAGGGTGCTTGGGGGGCAGTGTGGGGCAGGTTGGAGCCTTCCCAGCTCACCTCGGGTGCCCGTGCAGGGGCTCCCGGCCGTGCAGCCGCGGCTGGTGGCCGTCAGCAAGACCAAGCCGGCCGAGATGGTGATCGAGGCCTACAGCCACGGGCAGCGCAGCTTCGGGGAGAACTACGTGAGTGCAGTGGGCCCCATGGGTGTGTGATGGGTCCCATAGGACTGGAGTGGGCCCCATGGGTTGGTGATGGGCCCCGTAGGACTGCAGTGGGCCCCATGGTGTGCGATGGGTCCCATAGGACTGCAGTGGGCCCCATGGTGTGCGATGGGTCCCATAGGACTGGAGTGGGCCCCATGGGTGTGCGATGGGTCCCATAGGACTGGAGTGGGCCCCATGTGTTGGTGATGGGTCCCATAGGACTGCAGTGGGCCCCATGGGTGTGTGATGGGCCCCATAGGACTGCAGCGGGCCCCATGGGTTGGTGATGGGCCCCATAGGACTGCAGTGGGCCCCATGGGTCGGTAATGGGCCCCATAGGACTGCAGTGGGCCCCATGGGTCGGTGATGGGTCCCATAGGACTGCAGTGGGCCCCACGGGTTGGTGATGGTCCCCACTGGACTGCAGTGGGCCCCATGGGTCGGTAATGGGCCTTATAGGCCTGCAGTGGGCCTCATGAGTTGGTGAAGGGCCCCACTGGACTGCAGTGGGCCCCATGGGTCGGTAATGGGCTCCATAGGACTGCAGTGGACCTCATGGGTTGGTGATGGGCCCCTTAGGTCTGTGATGAGCCCCATGTGTTGGTAATGGGCCCCATGGGTTGGTGATGGGCCCCACAGGACTGCAGTGGGCCTCATGAGTTTATGATGGGCCCCATGGGTTGGTGATGGGCCCCTTAGGTCTGTGACGAGCCCCATGGGTTGGTAATGGGCCTCATGGGTTGGCGACAGGCCCCATAGGTCTGTGACGGGCCTCACGGGTCGGTGATGGCCCCATGCTGCAGGCAGGCACTGTGGCAGCCCTGTGTGGGGCTCTGAGCATGGGGAGCTGGGCTTGGCCATAGCATCAGGCCCCTGGCCTTGTATTTATAAGGGGCGTATTGGTCCCAGGGATATACATTCTAGAGAGACCCTTCTTATGGTGCAGGCACCTCTGGCATGGTTTTAACAAGAGATTGTCTTGATTCTCCTAGGTTCAAGAGTTGCTAGAAAAGGCATCAGACTCCAGGGTGAGTACACAGCTCTCTGTGTGTGTATTCTCTCTCCCTATAGCTGTGTCCTGGGAGCTGCTCAGCACAAATCCTGGTTTGTAGGGATTTGGCAATGGAGACTGTTTGATTCTTGTCTCTTCAGATAGATGGTGTGGTTATTTTTAGCTCTTTGCCTGCCCCATTCCCTCTCCTTGTCTTGCTGGCTCTGTGAATACGTGTGCCTTAGTCATAAAGTATTTGCCTGAAAGGTGCTTTATCTTTTGTGCTTTCTGCTGTAGGAGGTTCACAGTCATTTAAAAACGTGGTAACACTCAATTTTGGGGTAAATACCACGTTGTGACTATTCAGTAGCAAAAGAGCTTTGCTTTCCCCATGTAGTGCTCTGCAGTCAGAGCCCTGCTCCTCTGCAGAGGGTGAAGCAATCTCAGTACACAATCAGTGGCTGAGGTGTGCCTTTTAGGGTAAATAGAAGAAGACTGGGTGGTTTGTTTGTGGGCAAACTGAGACTCAAGTGCTGGGGAGGGGGGAGAGGGAGTTGTCATTCAAACCTCACTGTTCCTCTCTGCTTCCAGATTCTGTCCTCTTGCCCGGACATTAAATGGCATTTCATTGGCCACCTGCAGAAAACCAACGTCAACAAGTTGATGGGTAACTCCTGTTTCATGTGCTCTGATGCAGTGTTCAGATAGGACCAACCTCACGTGCATGAACTCAGCAATGCTCTGTGAGCGAGCTGAGGTGTAGGTACAAAACCTAGGCCAGCAGCACTGCTCTCAGCCTGTGTTTTCTCCCCAGCTGTCCCAAACCTCTTCATGTTGGAAACAGTGGATTCGGTGAAGCTGGCAGACAGGGTCAACAGCTCCTGGCAGAAGAAAGGCTCCCCTCAGAGGCTGAAGGTCATGGTGCAAGTTAATACGAGTGGAGAAGACAGTAAGTGGCTTTTTCTGCTCATAAGCAGGTTTGTCCTGCTGACGGGACAGAAACAACCTCACTGGGATGGGTTGCTTTGTGCTCTTAAAGCGTTTCTCTGAGCTAGGGTGAAGCTTGCTTGTCTGTTAGCTTCAGCCTGGCCTCTGGCAGAGCTCGGCACAGATCTCCCTGCTTTTTGCCAGGTAAGCATGGCCTTCCTCCTGGAGACGCCACTGCTGCTGTGGAGCACATCATCAACAAGTGTCCCAGCCTGGAATTTGTGGGGCTAATGACCATTGGCAGCGTTGGGCATGACCTTAGTAAGGGTCCAAATCCTGACTTCCAGGTAGGATTCTCTAGAAGCAAATGTTACCTGTTGGCTTGTCTCCCATCAGGCTGGAAGTCTGTGGGGCATCAGCAGAAACCCTTGATGCTCAGAGGGTATTAATGCAGGTGCTAGGCTCAGTTCTGCAGATGTCCATCTGTATTTGGTCCAGCTCCTTTGGAGCTGTAGCCAGGATATGGCAGGGACACCTCATGCAGCAGTTCTTGCCCTGCCTCCTCTGGTCCTGTGTCCAGATGGGGTTGCAGTTGGCGTTCCTTTGCCTGTTGTGCGTGCAGGGTTCATCAGGCAGAGGAACCAGGTCTGTGTTCCTCATCTGTCACGCTGCTGTGACAGTGGGATGTCTTTAGAAGATGTGTACTCTTGGAAGTACGGGTGCTGTCAGTAACTTAGCCTGGAATAGGGAATCTGCAGGTGCTTCAGTGGGAAGTGTGAAGGAGACTTCAAAGAAAGGCAGAGACTGGGATCTGTGGAACCCTGAAACAGAGCTGCTGTGGCTGTCAAGTGTCTGATCCTCTTTTCTCTCCCCTTCCCTTCTAGATGCTGTTGTCATTGCGGAAGGAAGTGTGTGAAAAACTCGGTCTCCCCATTGAGAAGGTGGAGCTGAGCATGGGCATGTCCACAGACTTCCAGCATGCAGTAAGTCTGGTTTCCTTCTGCCACCCCTTCCCTTGGGAAGCAAATGTACCAGCACCAGCTGTAGGCACCCCAAAGCCCAGCCCAGGCATCATCCAAACGGGCCTATTGGTATCTTCATCCAAGGGGAAGCCTGATGGTGCTGGTCCATGAAAAAGAGCTCTCCTGATTCTGGGATGGACCAAACAGACCTTTGCCGTAGGGTGGCGAGTACATGGGGAGCCATCCTGTGATGTGATGAGCATGAAGGTTGACTGCAGACTGTGCTGGCAGGTTTGGGTGGCATCCCTGCCCTTAACTCCTCCTTTGTCTCTCTCCCTAGATAGAGGTTGGATCCACAAATGTCAGGATTGGAAGCACTATATTTGGAGAACGAGATTATTCCAACAAAGCAGGCAGTGAAGGCAAAACTGAGACCTTGACAGTGCAGGGTCAGTAGGTGGGAAAAGAAGTGGCCTCACCAGAGGACAGCTGATGGGAGACCTCACTATGCATTCTTCCCTCCCTCCGTGTCGGCACCCCGTCGTGATGGTGAGAGGGAATTCCTCCTAACAGAGCAGAGGCCAGGAATGCCTCCTAATTTATTGTGATTGTAGAGTACCCATAGGAACTGGAAATCTGTAGAACCAACAAATGATATGACAATGTATGCTTGAAAGTGACTGTGGTATCTTGGCTCCTTCAGGGTCCTTGGGTTGACAGGGTTGACCAAAGTGTTTGTCAGGATGGAGCTGCTAATGAATCAAGCTGTATCCTCACCAGTGGCAGTGAGTTTGGTTTCACTGAGGACTAAATTCTTCATTAAACAAATTCTCATCTCGCCACAGACCCTATAAATATTTCCCCAAACAAAAGCTCTGCACGTGGTGGCTCCTGAGAGATGCTGTGACCAGGAACTCTGCTAGAGACACACTGTGACACTGCAGAGGGCAAAGAGCAAGCCCATGAGGATGGGTAAGGAGCACAGCTGCCAGCTTGAGCTCACGTTTTGGGTGCAGGTGGCAAGTGTGGGAGTCTTTTTGCCTGGAGTTTGTATTTATCCTTCCCAGGCTGACACTGCTGGCTCTTCCCATTGGTTCCATGTCTGCTCAGGTCTTCTGGGATGCTTTCACCCTTCACCTCTTGTGGTATTGGGAATTATTTTCATCCTGCCTAGTGGTTCTTCGACAGTCTGACTTCTTTTGGGTCAGAATGGGGCTTTTCTGTTGCTTTCCAAGGCGAGTCACTTGCTGTTTGGTGCCTCCAGCATCCTGCCTGCATGTCTGAGGATGAGAATACTCCCTTGTCTCGCAGGGCAGCGCTGAGGTTTGCTTTTCCTTTGGGAAAAGACCTCCAGAAAGGAAACCCCTACTGTTCTGCTGTGTTCTGGGGTCCTGCAAAGAGTCCTGTCAGCCCTGCCAGAGCTCCTAGGCTGTGTCTTAATACGTTAAGCACTGGCCTAACCTCCACTTCTCCTGGAAGAGGGAAGTGGGGTTCTTCCACTGCAGTAGCTGTTCCATTTAGAGCAGAAGCTCCCATGTTAATGTTACATGCTGTTTGGCCAACACTAGCTATGGCAAGTCTCTCTTGTAACCCATGTTAAAACCGAGGTTTGGGGCTTTTGTGTGCTGCTGAGAGGAGGAGACATCAGTTGCCAGCAGAAACCTCCTTCCCAGGCTTTTCTCTGTGTGCACACAGTTAAATCCAGCCTTTGGCTTTCCCCTCTGACTATAAATGCTGAATGTAAATGAAAAGAGTCAGCTCTTAACCTGTCCTAGCTCCGTGGTTTAGAAGCAACAGGCGGTCTGAGCCACCCTCCTCAGCACTGCACCGTGGGTTGTTTCCTAGTCCATCAACAAGTGGTGAATTCTGATACCATCTGTGCCAACTCCAAAGCTATTAAAGATGTTATTTTTATGTTCCAGCCTGGTGAATAAATGGCCTGAGTTGTCGTTGAAGCCGTTTCCCCAGCAGGTGGTTTGAAAGGTGGCTGGAACAGAGCAAAGGGAGTGGAACTGGGAGGTTTGGATCAGAAAGGGAAAAACGTAACTGCTGCTGAGCTGGGGGAGAGGGTGAGGTGGTGTGAGCTGTTCCTGGAGCAGCCCTCTGGGTGGCACTGCTCCCCAGCGCAGCGAAGGGGAGCCCGCAGCTCCTGGGGCAGGTACGGATCAGGAATGACCCTTGGGGGAATAACCGCACTTCCCAGCTGATGGTTGAAGTGAATCCCTTCCTGTTCCACCTCTCCCTTCCCGGGAGATCTGACTGCAGATCCTCGTGTGTGTGAACAGAGCAAAGTCAGGGCTCTGGCTCTATCTGAACTCGGTTCCAGTGTGCAGAGTCTGCTGCTGTCCCCTGTGTTCGCTCCTTCTCTTATATTGTAGCAGCACAGGAGGAATGGGAGTGCTCTGCACCCTGAGCTTGCAGACCCAGCCCAGCACAGGACACCCCCAAGTTCTTCTCAGGGCTGCTCCATCCATTCTCCAGCCAGCCTGTAGCTGTGCTTGGGATTGCCCTGACCCACTTGGATGAGGTTTGCATGGTCCCACCTCTCCAGTGTGTCCAGATCCCTATGGATCGCCTCCCTTCCCTCCACTGCATCTTGCCCCAGAGTTTCCCCATGCTTCTCCCATGGTCAAGCCTCACTGAAACCCTGACCTTCTGCTCCTCCTTTGGACACCCATGGAGCTGGGATGTTCGGAGCCGGATGCATGTCCATGGACCACCCTCTCGTTCCACAGCATCGCCAGCAGATGGGAGCTGCTGGTCACCAGGATGCAGCCAACAAGCTGGAGATGAAAGACTCCACAGCCTCATAATGAACCCTTCTCCCTGCTCCAGTGCCTCGGCCTCTGCATCACAAGTTTATTCCCCATTGGAAGCACTTGGCAGGTTCACTGCAGCAGCAGCAGCGCTCGCTCCTCGGGCACTGACACTGTCAATATTTGCCTTGGAGGAATGTGTCCAGCAGATGAAGGGACCAGAGGGGCTCCTCCTCCTCTTCCCTCGTGACTTGGCTTGGGCTGTCACCTCCTGGGGTGAAGGCACAGCCCCGTGTTCCTCAGCAGTCCCCTGCAGTGACTCTTGTGTCGCAATGTCCCTTGGAAGGCTCTGCCCAAGCTGATTCCCACCCCAAAGCTGTGTTGGCACGTGGATGGAGAGGAGAAAAACCCTTCCTGGGAGCATCTGGAAGGAATAAAACCAGGATGGGGTGATGTGCTGCTGCTCCTGCTGTCCTGGGGAGATGGGGTGGCTGCCTGTGGCCATCAGCATCCTCAAGGAAGCAGCCTGTTGGAGGCACTCTGAAGGTGCCGAGCTCTGCAGGCTCTGCTTCCCGTTAGGTGAGGGTCCAGGCGTTGCTTACAAAGCCAGGCTCGATTTAGTTCTTCATCACATCACATCCTTTGTATCCCAAAGTGGCTGGAGCTGAGCCGCCTGCTTGGCATGGGAAAAATCCATGGATTTAGGGCCGTTCCCTGCTCTGCCTGGCGTCGATGAGAGCACGGGGCAGGCCAGAGCAGCTCACCCGAGGCAGAGCCCGCTGCTGCAGCCCTTCAGAGTTGGGAAGCGTGTTTATTTCTGGGATATCAGGTTTCCGGCAGGAAGGCCGACAACTGCCAAGGTTTTTATTGGATCCTAGTGAAAGGAATTTAGAGAGTCCTGTGCTTGTTGTCTTTCCCCCCCCCACCTCCTATGCCTGCAGCGGTTAAGGAGCGCTTTTACCTTTGAATGGGAGCGAGGGGCACAGGGATTTGGCATCCGGCACCGGCACGTCCATGGTGATGGAGTTTCAAACAGGTTGCCTTCTTGTCTCCCAGGCCGGAGGCATCAGGAGGGGTCAAGGCTGGAAAAGCACAGGGAGAGAGGGGCTTGGAAGTACTTGAAAGAGCCTGAACTCCGCTGGGCTCAAAGCATGTGGGAAGTGTTGCTTGAGCTCCCCTCTTCGTGGCGGGGCTGGGGCCGGGTATTTCACATTTGTTCCTCGTTTTGGCCAAGGTTTTGGCTGAACTTGGAGGTAATTTTAGGGGAGGTTCAAATCCTGATGGCCACGGACAGGGGCTTGATTGCTTCAACGTGTCCTGGAGGCTGCTCTGCTTGCCCTCGGACGCTGCCAGCACTGACCAGGGCCCCCCAAGAGCCATGCCAAGCCCTGTCCCTATCCACACACAGGGAGTTCTTGCCTTAACACTGGGGTTTCCTTCCAGCCCTGGGGCAGGGGAAGCAGAGGGGCAGCAACTGGGGTCTGGGGCAGGGTCAGAGCTGCCCTTGGTAGGAAGAGGTGCGTGTGCTCTTAACAGTCCATTAAGGGCATGCAGAGTAACCCCAGGGTGAGCAGCAGGGCTGCCCATGACAAGGTATGTCCCCAAATCCACTTGAATTCCCTCCAGGCACTCAGCATCACAACATTGGGCCATTCCCCTGCTGAAATCCTGTGTCCTGCTCCCAGCTCTTGCACTCAATACAGGCTCTTCAGGTCCCTGCAGGCACTGGGGTCCTTGGAGGCAAGGATTCCTTAACTCAGGGCTTGATCCAGCGAAAGGAGCCCTTTGCACTTGGGGATGCTCCTGCTTGCTGCTGAGCTGGATGTGCTGGGAATGTGCATCAAACAAGGGGTCTCTTCTCCCGGATGGGTTGGGGGGTGGAGGGGGGGGGGGTTGTATGGAGCAGATGCTCGCAGGATCTCGGAGCGGATGCTGGACACAAGCAGTTTCCTGTTGCTCTTCCAGCTTCAGCTGCAGGATCTGGGACCAGCATCCTGCAGCCCAGGGCACGGGAGGGTAATTCCTGCAGTGGAAAAACAGAGCGGGGGGGAGAAGATGTGGGTTCACTGTTGATTGTGGGTTCCTTACTAAGATGATGCCACTCTGCAGGGCTCTGGGGTCCAACGGATCCGTAAGAGCACGCGTGGAAACGGAGCTTGTGCTGACGAGTGTCTCTGCCGTCTCCTCTTCCCGACTGCCACCGCGTCGTGTTTGTTTGGAGAAAGGAGTGAATTTCTTTTCCCCTCCAGGAACGATTGGTCCTGGAGAGAAACCGCATTCCCAGAGTGGCCTCTCATCGTCCTTCCGTGACCCTCTTCCTCTGCGCCCTGGTATGGGGGCCTGGAGACTTCATTGCCTGCTTTTGATCCCTTTTGATTTGAAGCTGCAGTGAGCCGTGGCCTCCGAGAAGCTGAGCGCAGAGGAGGGAGAGGGGACGTGGGAGGGGGAATGGGAAGCTAAATATTGAACTTAGTGTGGAAACCACTGAGGCAAACAGGGAAGCAAGAAGGGAAGAGCATTAACTGAAGGGCAGAGGCCAGGAGGGGACGGAGCAGCGTGACCATGCAGTGAACTGTGTGAGTTTGGGTAGGGGCTTCCTCCATGGCATGGGGGTCCTGGAAGGCAGTGGGACCCCCCCCCAAATCCCCCGCATACAGGGCACTGATAGGACACTGTGTGTGCCACCACCCTGGGCACAGCACCCTGTGCCACAGTGAGGCATTGCATTGGACCACATGCACAGAGGGGGGCATCACATCGGGACCCTAGGGACCACATGCAGAGGGAGGCATCGCATCGGGTCCCTATGGACTGCATGCAGAGGGGAGGCATCACATCGGGACCCTATGGACCACATGCAGAGGGGGACATCACATCGGGTCCCTATGGGCTACACTCGCTCTGGACCACGCAGGGCTCCAGCCCCTCCGTTGATATCCAGGGCTCCAGCTTGGAACCGAGATGGGACCGGGAGCTTCTCGCCCTCCGGGACGGAGCGGACCCGCGGCTCCTGCGGGACCCCGCGGAGCTCCGTCCGCATCCCTCGGGGGCTCCAGCCCCGCGTCCGGGCTGGGAGCGGAGCCGATGCCGTCGGCGGGGCCGGGCCGGGGCGGGCCGGGGCGGGCCGGGGGAGGCGCCAGGGCCGGCGGCGGAGCTCGGCGAGCGGCGGGGAGGCGGCGCCGCCGGAGCCGCCCCGGGGAGCGGGGCGGCGGTGGCGGAGCCCGGAGCCCGTGGCCCTCGGCCGGGGCCATGCGGCGGGCGGCGGCTCTGGTGCTGCTGGCGGCGGCGCTGAGCGGCGGGGCCGCGGCGCGGGGCTGCCCCGCACAGAGCCTGGGCTGCAAGTGCGGAGCCGAACGGCCCAAAGCCCCCGGTGGCTCCGCCGCGCCCCGGCGGAGGGTGGTCTGCAGCGGCGGGGGGCTCCCGGCGCCGCCCGAGCCGCGCCTCCTGCCCGACGGCACCGCCACGCTGTGAGTACCGCGCTCCGGTCCCCGCATCCCACCCACCCACCCACCCCCGGCGCCGGGCATCGGCTCCGGGCATCACCCCCCGCTCCCGGACGTCGGCCCCGAAAGGGTCGCGCTGAGCCCGCTCCTCGGCGGCCCCGAAGCGGGGATGGAGCGGGGGGACCCCCTCCGGTATCGCCCCACGCTGACGGGTACCGGGGCCGCGCTCCCACTGCTGATGGGGACACGGGGCGGGGGTTGTTCTCTCTCTATATAAAGTGATCCCGCACCACAGCAGCGCTGCTGGGTTCTGCGTTAGCACCCTTCAAAGCCCCGCAAAGCCGGAGCACGGGTTTAACGTGGGGACGGGCGCTGGAAATCCAGGAAACGGGCTCCTTCTCCACGCTTCCCCCCGCAGCGGCTGCGGCTGAGCGCTGGGGGAGGATGTTTTTGTTTGAAAGCTGCTGGGAATACCCGCTGGGAAGGGCTGAGGAGCGGTTAAGAGGGGTTCGGGGGTGTGCTGAAGGGTCTGAAGCTGCTTCCCGAAAGCCTCCTCATGCCCTCGGTGCCGAGGGTCGTGGTTTCGGCCGGCGCCTGCAGTCGGTTTATTTATAACTGCAGAGATGTTTGAATTAAAACCCGGTTGGGAAGGCAGGGCCTCAGCGCTGGGGATGGAGGAAATCATTGCTTTCACCCTCAGTGTCATCCCCTGAGGGTGCCCA